TTGTTCCCCAGTGGACCTGTAGTTGCAGTTCTTGGACCTATGCAGATTTTATACAAATTATGTATTTCTTTCTTTTTTTTCTTTTTTTTTCAATTTTGAAATTATAAAAAAATAAAATAAAAACAAACCCTCAAGAAATTACATAGTTGAGTTGTCCACATTGCTTACATGCAAACCTTGTGTCAATGAATTCCCATTTGTTTAGTAGATTTAGTAGATTTAGTAGAATTTGCTGTTTAGTAGACAGTTTGTTTACTATTTGTGATTATCTTGATGCTAATGAATGAATTGATTGCTAATGAAAACCTCATTTTCACAGAACATTTCTATACACTTGTTAATACAAGAAATGAAATGCCAGAAGTAAAAATTCCAAGTTTGCACAATCATGGTTTTTAATGTGGTCCTAACATTTTTGAGGCTCACCCAAAGTGGAGTTCCAGCGTTCACACCATAGTGCCACAGCACGCTACCAAGCTATGTGTCATTTCCAAAGACAAACCTCCCAAGCTATAATATATTCTAATGCCAAAGTCCGAGTTACTTTTTCTATGTATGTATTTACTACAACAATGGCTATCAATACATATGTCTAAATATGTCAGAGTTGGCCAACAAACAACAAAATATTTGACAAGTTTATTTCTAAGTTTCCATTGGACATAAGCCATAAATTCTTAGTGAAAGTTCCAAGTCTGGCACTGCCCATGACATCAGAAAAGACTAAATCCACTGATGGAATAACCTGGCCATTCAAATATAAAAATAAAACCTTAAAGGTCCCATATTACACAAAACTGACACTTGTGAGCTTTAAATCATGTTATAATGTTGTTACTTCATCAAAAACATATCCAGAGTTGTGTTTTGTTTCATTCACACGTTTGAGTAACACGTTATTAGTTGTTTGTCTACATCTCCAAAGCTCCAAATACTCTGTTTTACCTTGTGATGTCATGAAGTGGTTAACGTTAGGCAAGTACAAAGTTTAACAGCTACATATTATCTTTAGGTTAGCAGAGATGGGCAATTCCAGGGCTGAAATGATCCAAATGATTCTTGTGAAGGTGTATGGAATTTAAAAACACAGTGGAGCTCTTCCCTTATTATCATAGAGAACAGAGTGTTTTCTGTTAGAGAGAAGAAGATGGCCTAAATATGCAGGATTTGTGTGCATTATAACATAGATCAGAAAATAGCACAATATGGGCCCTTTAATGTCCCAAACTTATTGCTGATAATGCAGTTAAGCAATGACCAACTTATTTTTTTTGACACTTTCCTGTGAATCATTAAAAAATAATCAAAAGAAAGTATAAGACAAATTCCTGTATCTGTAAAATACCTAATTTAAAATGTGTGCACTTTTATGACTCCGACACCTCATCTTATTTCTATTTATTCGCTGTGCTTTTCATACCAGCAACACCAACTAAAAGAAGTCTGGTTTCCCAATTACCAACTTTATTGCTCTACAACCTAAATCAGGACTAACTGAGTAATAAAGAAATAGTGACAAAACATGCACTAAAGTGTGTGGAATCCATGACAAAAGCAGAAAGTGACCAGATCAAAAACTGCATTATGTTTCTGTGAGTGTATTCTGCTACCTCTCCATAGAGCTGACCTGTACATTGGTGGCAAAAGGTCAGTTTTTATATAGTGCTTTTCCATCTTCAAGGAACCACTCACCCAGTCACACACACACCCATACACCAATGTAAACTGGAGGCAGGGTAGGTTAAAGGCCTGTCCACATGACAACGTTCTTTAGTCAAAACGGTGATGTTTGTATATGTTTTGGCCTTTTGTCCACACAAAGCCGGCGTTGTCATGTGGACAAAGCAAACCACCGCTTTTGGAAAATGATGACGTCGCAGCCCTCGAACTACCCTCCACTGACCGCTAGACTGTTGCCGAAATGGGACAGGTGTAGCCCACGGAGCCGCTCCCATCGCCCAGCAACCAAGATACGCTGCAAACATTAATGCTAACAACACGTCCCACACAGATTGCACACATGGATCAATAGCAAAGATTACGCACAGGTAATTAAACTGTTGGATTTTGAGACCAAGTTATTCTAATAATTCTTGTCCAAACCTTATGGCTAAAAACTAAAATTATGTTTAACTTTTGCAAAACAAAATGGCTATATTTCTGGGATACATCTAAATTAGGCTAAATTACCTTAAAGTAAAAAAAAAAAAAACGCTGATGAGATATTCATTATTAAATATTATTATCATTGTTAACAGCACCACATACAGGTGTGGCATATGTATCACATCGTTTTCACTCAGTGCTCCGTTGTCATCTGGACGTGAATATTTATTGATCCGATACGTGTGTGGACGCAAATTTTTTTCAACCTGCAAAAATTTTAAAAATCCAGGAGCGTAGCTTAAGTGTCTTGCCCAATTACACAACCACAGCATTCATCTGTGAGAGCACTGCCAACCTGTGGGTCAGTGGATCTGACCGCTCAACCAGTGATGTTTATGTCGAGAGTGAGATTCAAACCATCAGCGAACAAACACTCAACCAACTGAGCTACTGTCACCCATGGTTAGAGATGCCATACTGTTTGACATTCTAAGATAAACACGGAGGCAAAAAATCTACCAGAAAAGTTACACAATGCACCTTTAAAGAATAGATCAAATGTAGAAGAATGAAGCAAAAGACAACTCCAGGTCTGTTTTTGTTGAGGAAACAATGTTATGATATGAAACACCTCTGTACCACTTTTGCACACACTCCACAGTTTGAGAACCACTGATTCCGCTGCTACAACTGCATGTCGGCTATAGTGTTTCCCTCTCCGTGCCACAAATCAGCTCTGAGTGTCAAAGAAGGCAGCCAAGAAAGCCACAAATCAGCTGTGTGTCCGCTGTAATCACGAACATCTACACGCTCTGCTGCTGATAACACACAATACATCTCCCACCAACGCTGTCCGCAGAGCTAGAGTTTCACTAGCCTTGATTAGCATTGTATTTGAGGGTTATCGTGAAGCTAAAATAAGATCTATGGTAATAGCTAATGCGTACAGTCATTTTTAAAGGTGTGAATTTAATGTGGTTTGGATAGTGGGTCTTTTCTCTGTAGGCTACCTTCACACGTGGCCCCCATCTGAGAATGCAAGGCTTTTCAGCACCTCATGATTTGTTACAATGCATTTTTCTTGAAGTTATATTTTTGAAAGAAAGACTCAAATTCACCCCAGAAGTACACGAGTTGTATTTTTGTGTTGGGAATTTATGGCCTTAAAGGTGCACCATGTAACTTTTTACGGTCCAGCGTCCATCATCTGCTGGTTTCCATGGAGATGTTGCATGACTGTTTCACAGAATGGTATGATGTATATATATGTGCATGGACACAACAGGTGATGCCACAGGGCCAAGTTACAGGTTAGATCTTTGGAGAGGTGACCCCATTTACAGTTAGCCTGGCTGGTGCCACCTAGTGCCTCCGCTCAATTTAATTTCTCTCCACCGACTAGGTCAGGAATCAGAATACACTAGATGGTTTGCAAAAACCACGGAAGTGCGAGTCCAGGCACCAGCCAATCAGCAAAATGCCATACATTCTGTGTTGGCATTGATTCCCGAGATCGAGGATTCAAAGCCGGAACAAAGAAAATGTTTGGTGAATTTTATCAAGGGGAAAGACGTTATTGTCCTTCTTCCTACGGTATTTGGGAAAAGCTTAATATTCCAGTTAGTCCCTTTAGAGGCGCATTACATACGTCACGACCAAATAGCAGCGATTGGTTAAATAATAAGAAGTACCTGCCTACCGTCGAGCGAACAAATTCTAATGTTGCAAGGTCAGACGGTTTCTACAAAGTGAAACCGAATGATGAATCTGGTTCATTTACAGTAACACCTCTAGTTCAATAAATACAAGATAGAAAAGTATAATGCCATACTGTGGAACATTCCAGCTAACTTTTATGGGGGAGAGTCCACCATCTTCTCGTCTCCATGCAGATGTTATTGCTTTTTCTACTGTAGGGCATAAATCTCCATGGAGACCAGTGAGTGACAACACCAGGGCAAGTTACAGGTAAGATCTGTGGAGAGGCTCACAGGAAAGCATTTTGCAATACAAGCATATTATATTGTAATGCATTAACATGTTAGTCCATCATCTGGTTTCCTTGGGGATGATACTTGAAATGTTTCACAGTATGGTATTGACGTATCTATCTCCATGGAGACAGGTGATCTTTGGAGAAGCAATCCTACTTACAGTAACACCTCTAAATTACTAGTATTGATCTGGATTGCCACATAGTACACCTTCAGAAAGAATTTAGATTTGAGACTTAGCATAACAAAAACATACGTTATAAAGTTGTCTAAAACAAGAGATGGATTTTTCATCTTTTATTTAGATTACATCCCACTTTGCATAATATTTTAATTCTCACCACATTTTTCAAACCACAAAAACAGACGTCACTACATTATTTTTTATCTCAAATTTGCCACAATGACACAACAATTACAACTTCACATACACCTAATGTTTCAATCCAACACATTTGGTAAGTGTCCGTTAAGTCCTTCTCACTTGGCCCATTGCACATAAATATATTTCTGTTAAATAAAGCAGCGGCCATGTCCATCAAAGTTCTTGTTTTGGAGAAGAGGAAGGAAACGTATGCTCAAGTTGACCAAAAATCTTGGACCAGGGACCCCAAACTCCAACTAAAATATAGCAGTGGTTTGTTTACGTTTGCACAATGGGAACAGGAAATACTTGTGACAAAATGTCCGCTTTTAAATTAAACATGAGTCTTAAGTTATTATTATTATCATGGTTAGCTGCAATTTCATCACATCAGTGTTTGGGAATTGAAAACTTGGGTTGAATTACTGTCAATAAGCCAACAGTGGTGTTAGTTTTCATTGACTAAAAAAGTGCAATATTTTCCCACGTTTTTTTTTGTTTGTTTTTTTCTTCTTGTAAAATTTGTCAGTGCACCATGCATTGTAAATTGCTACAGCGGAAAAAAAAAAAAAAAAAAAAAAAAGGAAAACTATCAGAGACTTGAGAGCTGGTACGTCCAATGTCTAACCCAATGCTACAAGTGCTATATATATAAAATGTAAGGGGCACTGAGTAATTTATGATATTTTTTTAAAGGTTGAATTGGAAGAGTCCAATTATTTTTGTTCAATCATTACACTATTAAACCATCAGTTGTACCCAATATTACGTTCTAAAATTTTATTATGTCATGATCTCAGATGGTGTGCAAAGGCCCATGTAAGTCTATGAAAAATTCACTGTTTTTGAAAGCAATATCCAAAGGAAAAATGTTGAACTTATCATTATTTGTAAGGGAATGGGTCCACAAACCTGCAATATTGATCTCTTGTCTTAAAATGAAACTAAACACTAAATACACTTTTTTTTTTACTACCGAACTGTGTATCTGGTGTTTTATTAGCATTGTCTACTGTCCCAAGTAAATTTTGGCAATTTTACTGCAAACTAGATACATTTGCAGCTTTCTGGTCCAAAATATTTAAATCTAAATGTGCGCAGCCTTCGGTGGTTAAGGCAATTTCAAGTACTTGGTGGCATCACAAAAGACTGCCTAGTTACAGACAGGGGCTTCTGATTACTCCTGGCTGTAGAGGCGGAGTTTGAAGTGTGGATACAGTGTGATTTGACCAATCACACTGTTATTTACACCTCCAAACCCCGCCTCTCCTCTTCCGTCACTCTCTTCTTTAGTCCTCGAGATACTGCCCAAGTTAATAACTCTACTTGAAATGTGGTTGTGGGCAGAGTTTAGGTGTTTAGTCCTTTCAACTGACAACAATCACACTTTTAGAATTGAATGATGGGACCATTTGTCTGAGACTATTGTGAAGAAATTTATCATTTTGCTTTTGTTTGTTTCCACTGACAAAGAAGACATTGAACTTTGTGCCAGTTTTTGTTTCATGTGGATAAACCCAGTAATTACTGAGATACTAACCATAAACTAGCTCAACAAATCTGTAATCTGACATTTAAACAGCAAATTCAACTGTAGAATTCTGACCTGTCCTCCAGCTCTGTTTTAAACCACAGACTCTAAAATGTTGTGATGTCACTTGAACGCAGCCTATAGTGGGATAGTATGGAGCGAGGGGGCGGGGCTAAAGCAGGGGTCCAGTTCCGGTCCAAGAGGGGAGAGAAAGAGAGAGACTGCTTCCACAGTTCATCATAGCCATATCCAGTTGTCCGAAGTATGTCCCCTTAGCTTCCGGTTGGCACAGATCTTGTTTTGGACTTGGCACATTTGGGACAGGGCCCATGGGGGGTAAAGGTCCTGCTACTGTTTGAGCTCCAGAGCCCACACGTGTTGAGGCCATCCCGTCCGACCTTTCGTTTTCTTATCACTCACAGAGGAAGAGGAGGAGGAGGAGGAAGAAGATGTGTTTTTTGGCAACTCCACCTGAAAACAACATGTCACAGTTAGTATAGTACATCAGAGTAAAGTAAAGCGTATTAGTAAAATATCGCCGTAGCTTTTTTTTTTTTTTTCATTACTGGCTGTATTAGGCAATGTGTTAAGTGTCTTGCTCAGGGACACAATAACAGCAGTATGAGCTTGGGTAAGATACAAAATTTAACCCATTGTGCCACTCTCTTAATTATTAATGTAATAAAAAAATAATCAATATATCAGGGCCAAAGTTAAGAAGTATCACGCTTGCACTGTAATAAGGAAAAATAAAACGTAAAGAAATGGTTTTCATAATAACACACTGTAATAGTATATAATGAAAAGCGTTGTTATTTGCCACTTAAAAATATGTATGTTTGCAGACCAAATAATAAAACGTACATCATCAAATTTTAGGTTAGCAGTAATTTAAATAAATAAATAATAGCCCAACATTAATTATTTGAATTAAACCCAAATCTCCAATTTTACAAATAAATATAATAATAATAATATAATAATTATTATAATAACACAACACAAACACAAAGCTTGAACACACAATAAATAGTCTAGTTGGCAGGATACACTCATAAACACTGAATATTTTTGTGCAACATGGTGGAAAACTAATTTGTATTTTTCCCAAACAGAATTGAAAAAATGCTCCACATAATTCTGGAAATTGATTCTCTTACTGCAATACTGGCTCAGCTGCTCAGCAATGAATAGGCCCTGATCATTTCACCGTGGCCTTGTCTCGTCATTCATATTGTAAAGCGAAGTACTTATGTTGGATAAAAAACATAATTCCAACATTAAATGATTCAAACACTAGCATAGACTTTAAAGTTAAATAATTAAATAGGTTGATATTTGTAAAAACGTAGCCTACTTCACGCATGCGTCTAAGGCTTGCATTTTTTTTATCATATGAAATGTTGGGAATTGTTAAAATATTGAGCAAACAATTTCAAGATCACCCTGTATGGCTGTGTGAACGCACCCCACCCCCGCTACCCCCCACCAAAAAAAAAAAAAAAAAAAAAAAAAAAAAACTTGGAAGAAACGAATGTTTTTTGACTATCAAGAAATACGTTGACTGCGCGCGTTAAACTCACAATTCGTCGATTGAACACAAACGCGGCTCAGGTCTCTTACTTTTTTAACGACAAAATCGTAAATATGTTGTTGCCATAATATGTTTTACTTGTTTGGATAAATGTGGGAAACAGGTCCACACTTGTCCTCACTTAACGCGATTAAGGCCTAAAGCTAAACTTCTACGACCCCAGTTGGGCGCTTCATTTACGCACGGCGTCAGCGTCAAATCCGCACGACGCGAGATTTATTCACGCACATCAACATCACGTCCTCGATCACACGACAAAGTGACAGGTCAACAGGTTCCGCTTGAAAGACATAGACATAACGTTTAAAGAGGCCAACCTGTATTAATATCATGGATTTGTAAAAATTCTCCAAAGGAAAACTTGGCTGCTGGGCACAAATTTCAGTCAGCTTCAGCCACGTTTGTATGTGGCACAAATGAGGCTTTCATATGATTTAACTTCCAGTCAAATAAAAACCAGGAGACTTATAATGTAAAAATAAAACAAAAAGAAGAAAAAAAAAGAAAACATCAAAGTGTGCAATTTTAGTAACACTGGAAATAGAATCACAACTCTGCTGATGAAAACTGCTGATGAATGTATTAAAGTACCCCCCTTAAATGACACAAATAAACCTCTAATACAATCTGGTGGACGATGCAATGTCTTCAATAAACAAATAATAACCAACCGGCACGACACACCCTGAGAAAAAACAATCTTTAAGACATTTTTTTTTATCAAAGAACGAGTGCGTGCGTAAATGTCTTAAAACGACTAAAAGGGATTATCGTGCGCATCTGGTGCCATAAAAAGAAAGTTGGATGAACTACTCAATATAATATAAACACGTAGGCTATTTGTTGCATCGATGGCTTAAAAATTTCATATGGACCACATGATTTTGTGTTGTGGGCACGAACAGCGCATTGTCCATTCAATTTTCAGAATGAACCAAGCCTGCTCTCCCCTACAGTCTCTCACACAATTTTTAAATAAAGGATGGAAGAACGCCATGTACCGTTTCGCCTCTCTCCTTCTCCACTGTACCATGACCTCATTTCACTCCGCTCATTTTACCTGCGCGAAAAGGCTTATGGGATTTACCTGTTTTCTGTGCGTAAAAACGCAACTGTTTATCCAAATGGCTCAGATCACGATAACACGCAGCTTAAGTGGCATGGTTTAGCTTTGATACTTTGTTGGCCACAATACACGAGGCGTTCAGGTGCAATAGGATATAAAATGTGTAGGCACGTTAACTAAGCGTACTGTAAATCTGCAGAAAAATAAAATAGATAAAAATAAAAATGGTGAACAAACAAAACATTGTCTTATTTGAATGTATAGATATAAATATTTGTTAGAAATTATTTAATCTGTTGGAAATGAGTGTCTCACATTTTATTATAAATATTGCCAGCTAAATTACAAACATCAAATATACTTTATATTGTATAATTATTGGATAGTTGTGTATTGTCTGAGCAACTGTAGAGCATAACACGCAATAATAGCTCGAAAATGTAAACGGTAATTTATATTTTTTATTCACTGTTTAATTTCTGTTGGTTACGCGGTGTTTTAAGAATGCTGTTTTAGTCAAGCAAAATTTTGTAATAGCGTTTGCTTATGCGAGAATTTGTAGCCTAATAAAATAGAAACACTGGAATTAAATAGTGTGTTTAGTCTCCATGTCTCCTCCTGAGTGCACACAGAGAGCCATGCGGCCGCGGATCGTCACCTTTAAACCTCAGGGTTCACCTTCTCGTTAATGCTTCGTCTGTGTGCGCGGCCGAACTGTTAAACGACGCTCTTATGCGCTCGTTTCCACCATCCTCCTAATCCTCAATTTAGTCTGGACTCGGAATGGGCCACTTCCAAACACTATTAGGGTACAGCATTCGGCCAATCACACACACACTCACACACAGAAAATATACGAGAATAATTTTAAATCCAGTCCTATATGGTCAAACAGGGCATTTTATTTATTTTTATTACCCTTTATCCAGGTTGATTGAAAACCAATTCTCGCTTTTACAACGACGAACTGAATTGAATTGTACTGTATTGCATCTGCTCAAAGGTGGAATTTTATTTTATTTCTAACAGATACATTTTTATTCAACTAACAATTGTTTATAACTGACGAATAAAACCTTTATTTGAATATATTTATTAACAACCATTCATTTTACTTTCACGTGTGCACGTTTTTGACCGACAAGTTATACTTTTTTTTTGTGTGTGTTACTCGGTTTGGCCAAGATCTTTCAGTACTAGGTTTGTGTGGGGGTCTAAATGGGGTTTAGCTTTCTTGTATACAACATTTAGCGAACTGTTTTCTCATTCAAGATATAATATTGTGTTCTAATTTGTTAATCACTATGGCAACGGTCCTAGTTTTCATCATTTTGAAATCTATGGATATAAAGACCAAATTCAAGAAACTTAAAAGTGAGCAGAAAGAACGACTGAGCACATTGAGTTTACAAAATACTAAAAGATATTTGCATTAGGCCTATGTCAAAAGGTCAAAGGGATAATCTTGGGAAATTTACTGAAATGTAATTACTATTAAATTATTTATACTAAATGTAGACGAACTGCACGCTATATAAATTGTACATAAAATATAAATAAGTCTATAACAATATTTAAATTAGGTATTGTCTGTGCTGTATTGCCCCAACCTTCCCTGCCATTCCTCATTGATCTGTATTGGAACGTGGCACCGTGTGTGCGTCCTGCTTTACGCACGAGTTGACATGAGTTATGAATGGCACTACATCCTTCTATTAGCGATCCAGGGTTTGAAAACGTGAGGAAAAATTGCTCTATCTGGCTCCAATTACGCACCACACTTCCTCATATAAGCAGCGCGTTGGGCGAGAGACAGGAAGCCATTACTCTAGTCTATTCTGCTGAAGCGCCATTCGCTCGTGTCATGTATTGTTTGGATCTACACGGTTTACGCTCGACGGCTGACAGAACGTGTATATGCTCACAGGGAAATAATGGGGCTTCGGTGAATGCCTTGTTGTTGAGTAGAGAGACGCAATAATTGCAAGCACCGGTTTGAAGAATCGACGATGACGTGTGTCCATAGATATGATCACATACTGGAACAATTGGTTTACTACCATTCAAAATTTAGCACGAGGGTTTTGGATGGTTTTTGGATACTACTGGATAAATCACCTAATCCGTTCTTTATACTTTACAAGAATTTCTAAAATATATCTTAATTAAGTAGCCTACTTTTCTAAATCCATTAGTTTTGGCTATTAATTGGGAATCCTGTATTTGACATAATAGTCTTGAGTGTAATTACGCATTTCGTCTTCTCATAATCTCTATCTTTGTCACATTCGTTATTATCCTAAAAATAATACAAATATAACTTAAAACAGTAGTGTCCATGCAAAAATAATTATAATTGTGTTTAGATATATTATTGTTTTTATGCTACATTTGATCACTTACTGTATGTTTTCGTCATTTTGAAAGTTGAGTATTACACATAGTAGCTTACTTTGCAAAACTCTACCATGATCTTAAAAAGACTGGTCTATTGAAAGAGGGATTAATGTTCAAAAATATTATTCAAAAATATATTATATTACTGTATTCTCAACAGACGTTTAGCACACTCAAGTTAAGTAATGGGCTATGAATTCAGGCAAAACATATGAAATAATGCGCAAACTCTAGTGGTGGAACTCTCGTACTCTGGTATTTACAAACAATAACCACGGATGGGGAATCGTGACTATTTTAAATTATAAATATGAACAGAAATATATAATATATGGCTTATTTGATTTGAACTGTACAGATCCAATGTACTGGAGTTATTGTGATATCTCTAAAAATATGCATTGCATTGTTTAAAAGTATTTGTGATAAAATAGGCTTCTCTTTGGTGTAAGTCTACAATGTACTCAAGTGCAACTGATATCTCCAAATATCTGTATTAAAGTAGAAGTACATTACAAACGCAAGTGTTTCTGTACCGGGGTCTGTGTAGTCCCTTTGGCTCCATGCTGTCTGTGGATGGGGACCAATTTTCTTCATACCCAGTTCTTTTACGCACTTGATGAATTGTGTCGTGCTGGTATTGCATTAAAATACTCCCTACACATACCCTAGGGTTATATCAGAAAGGTGTGCCTTTGACTTCCACTAGCATTGCATTGCTGTAAGTCCACTATGACCCTACAAACTTGCTATAACAAAAACTTTTCAGTGACTTTTCAGTGTTTAGTACCACCCCATGTGCTTTCTCTTCTCTCCAAATTCCTCCTCCAAATAAATGAGCCTATAAGATTACCCGCTATTAAACGTGCGCAAATGTGTGTGTGTGCAACGCGTGTGCGTATGTGTGACCCCAGCAGGGAAATGCCTGTTTTCGTGTTAGCTCTAGCCCCTCACATGAAGGAACAATGCCTATGTGCTTGCAATTGGGTTGCACTGTATCTATAAGGCGTTTTAGGGAGTATTATTATCACCAATGGTATTACCATAGTAACTTGCAATTCTGCTTAAATTATATAGAATAGTCTTTTTATGCAAAGCTATCCTCAAAGGACTTTACATCCTGTGTAGTGTGAAGCAAACTATGTCTGTGTTTGGCTCAAATACGATAAACGAAGCATATTGGTACACCATGAGTAACTTCTTATACCTAAAAAAAACAAAAACAAATGTGAATACTGTCGTCGTGCGTCAGGCACAACTTTGATGCGTTTTGTAATTATCACAAATCTGCATCCAGAACTACGTTTTGGGGTGATCTACAAGCATAACACATACATCTATTAAAATTAATTACACTATAAAACCTACAATCTATTCTGAAATAGCAAAACAAATTTTACGAATAAATGCAATATCATAGACGATGTATTCGTACTTCTTCCATATGTCTGTTTTTGTTTATTTTCCGGCACTGGAAAATATGTGAGTGTTTTTCGTTGTAGTCCCGTGCATTTTTGTGGTGAAGTTGTATCCAAGTATGGTACAAATATTTGGCAGATTCTTTAGTTGTAATAGACTTTGCATTTGGCACTTTGCTGTCTAAGAACACGTATTTTAGTCTAAGTCTTCTCCGTGCGTCTTTTGTTTTATAATGATCAATTTGCCTATACTATCTAACTTTCCAAAGAAAGACTTCAAGTCTATGAACTACTTTAACCAGTAGGCCTATAGACTGTGGTTATAGACAGAGTACAGATTTAATCAAATGGTACTTATTTTGCCTTATAAAAGCATTTTAAGGTTCAAAGACAACAAAAAGTATAGTTACTTAATAATACGCGAATATTTTGATGAGTTGCAAAAAATATATATAATAATGTGCAAACAGGACAGCGCTTTGTGGTTTATTTAACTATGCTGTTTATAAACCATGTTCTTTAAAAAGCCAAGTTTGCTACAACAGTTCTTACTCTGTTTAGTTTTACGAGGACGACCTGCACTTTTTACGTAACTGTTAACTTGTGCATTGTTCTTTAAGCTTTTTCTGTGGCATCGAACCGACTTTAAATCGCACATTGAGTTCACGTTATGTTAAATACACGCTATACATTTCATTGTGGTCTAAGTTGACACCCTTTTCGGTTGTTTGGAGAAAGGTTGGCGCTAAAAATGCCCCAGTTTGAGCTTACTCTTACCGCCTCCCTCTTCCTCCTCTCCTCGCGGGCCTCCGTCTTCTTCAACTCGGCTTTAAACGCTTGCGTATCGCCGTGCTGGCCGTCCTTATCCAGTATGTCCATCAGGTAGGAGATGTAGCTCGTGGCCAGCCGTAGTGTCTTGATTTTGGACAGTTTAGTGTCTGCAGGTACGTTGGGAATGCACTCTCGGAGCTCCGCAAAGGCCGAGTTGATGCTCTGGGTCCGCCGCCTTTCCTTCCTGTTTGCCGTGGGTCTCCGTTTCACGGGACGGGGGTGCGCGTGATGGTGGTGGTGCATACCGACTGGAGCACCGTTCACCGGGGGCACGAGACTGCCAGGGCCGTAGTGGTGGTGATGATGATGGTGGTGAGGGTCCATGCCGCCCGTGGAGCCCCCGCTACTGTTGCCATGGTACTCGGGGCTGTAGCCGGGCGCGAGGCTGTAGTCGGTGGGAGACATGTCCGCGTGGCTGATCAGCCAGCTCGTGAAATAAGGAGGGCCAGTGTCCTCGTGACAGCGTCCCGCCGCTGCCGCCGCGTGCAGCGAGTAGTGGTGGCTGTCGTGGTGGTGCATCACGGGGTGGTGCGGGAATCCCGAGACCAGACTCGCGACACACGCACGAGCACAACACACACTCAGCTCTCACTCACGCACGCACACGCAAACACAGGTCCTTCTGGTGCTCTCCTTCTTTTGAGCCTCAAATAATCGCGCTCATTTTGGGTGTAGACTCCCCATGGCCTCCTGAAAAACAACGTATCCAGCGGCGAGTGTCCACAGCATTCCCCGCGCAGCCGTAGCCTCCTCCGGGCTTTATCTAACACCGCGTCCCGCTCCAAGACATTTTTCTTCTCTTTAACATAAACAGCACGATGTGTAGGACATTTTCTTCATCTTCTTGACCACTTACTGTGCGTAACCGGGCGTAATCGTCCTTGCGCAACACATTTGTCCAGCAGTTAGCCTTAGAGCCGTTGACAAAGCACCACACAGCACTGGTTGATACTGAACTAAGGTAAAGCCCGCATGTCCGTATGACAGAGACGAAGGGGGAAGCGGGAGAGAGAGCCCTAGTCATAACGTCACCGGGAGCAGCCAATAGGATAGCTGAACCAAACTTCAGTAACAGCCTAAGCCAATAGCGAGCAGCCCATCACCACCGCACCCCTCCCCTCTCTCGGTCTGTTTACTTGTCTTTAAAGTCAATGGGCCCGCTAAGTAGGCCTACACACGCACGCCAAAGACGCACACGCAAAGGAGCAATTACAAGGTCAAGAGCGTAAGGACGAAAAGGCAGCACAAAACACCAAACCATCTCAACAAGAAATAAATAATTATTATACTGGATTTGTATATACAATTTAGAATTTTCAACCAACAAACGAAATGTTACATGCATATAATTACTCAAGCTTTGATAATTAAAATGAAAAAAAAAAAAAAAAAAAGAACTTCCTCACAGCCAGAGCAATAAAGGAAAAATGCACCATTACCATCGCCTCATTGTTTAAGTTATTCTACATCCTGGTGGAATTATAGTCTACTTTACAAAGGCGTGGAGTTTTGGGCACATGTCGCTCTGAAATGAGGAATTGGAAAGTCGCATTTGCACAGGTCCGCATTTATTGGTTGTTATGCCTTCCTCTTTTTAGGAAAAGCTTAAACTAAACGTATGAAATAGTAGAAGCCCCTCTTAACATTAACTTGCATTTTAACCAGTGCTTGTCTTTCTTGATTTTTACAAAATACTTGATGCGTTCACATCAAACACAGCACAACTGTCATATACTTCAGATTTCGGTCCAGTCTCATTTAACTGTGCAGTTCTTTTTGAAAAGCAGCGATGGAGAGTTTGTGATCCCAGCGCTGCGCATTGACGTGACGCCAGATGTGTAGTAGTCACAGTGAATGCCGCGTGCAAACCGACACAAGCCAGTCCTGGACACGTGCAGCCCACGTCAGATTTCTGGACTTAAATCAATAAATGTATTTCATTACTAATAAAACCCAGGGATTTGTAGTCACACTCGCGCTGTGCACCGTTACGGAGGTGATGCCAGGATATTACGCGCGCCAACAAAGGTTAGTGAAATATTGATACAATAACCTTCATTATTATCATAGTTATTTCAATGTATTTATGTACAAAAAAAAAAAAAAAAAAAAAAAAAAAAAAAAAAGAAAGAAAAGAAAAGAAGAAAAAGAAAAAAGAAAAGAAAGAAAAATCCCTAGCAGACTATTTTTAAATTTCTGGATTAAAGTCTACATTAAAATCCTGAATTACGCATGCGTAAACATCATAGATCCTACTTAAATTGCATTGCATGTTTTACCTCGTTAACTTAAACGCCCTTTAAAATAATTTCCTAACAGGAGAAGCGGAGGAGTCTGATAAGAGACAGTGTTTTTACAGCGCGGTCTTTAGCTTTACGCGCGGCTCTGACCTCTGGCCCGGCTCTAATTTATTGCCGCACAAAAAACACTTAAGAGTCCAAAGGATGAGACGATTCATCTTAAAGTCTGGGGACAGTTTAGACTAGAGCTGATCTTAGAGCGGCTCAAACCGTTGCTGCTCAGTTAGAAACTATTTAGTATATAATGGAGTATGACCTACTGCGTTTTAAATAAAATACTCAACGTGTGATCATGGAAATAAATGCAACAAATACACTGCGCCAAAATCCCCCTTAATTTCGCACCTAATGCGATATTTAAAAATATTTATTTATGTCACTTTTGATAACGAAGGGTGATATCCATTGAACGTAAAATTTCCAAAAATCCAGCCTCAAGGAAAGTTCTTCTCGTTCAAACATCGGTTCATTTTGGTGTGTAAAAGTCCGAAGCAGCGTTCAGACGGAGACTGCCACCGGCACGAAAGACAAACAGACTCTTATTTATCATCCAAAACTCAAGATCCGCTTTGTGGTTTTGAACTGAGTATTGCCTACATTTTCCAACGAGCACAGATGGACTACTGCTCATGTTGACATGATACAAACATGGTTGGGTGTAAAAAGAGACTGTGGTGTTGATTTCAGCACAACGAAATGACGCATGTTTTATATCTCCACACGTGGGAAAAACAAGGCGCAAAACTGGCTTTATTTCTGAATAAATGTTATGAATGAGTCAACATCACACCTTGTAAATTAAACAGCCAAAACGAAGAAAAAACAAGATATCAAACGTGTCTGCGGGTAAATTGGTCTTATTACTTAGGCCTATATATCCTGCTTTATAGGCCTAATATATATAGGTATACAGTATTTATAGCTCTTTTTTTTACATGCAATGTGCATTCATATTTACCCATGGACGCCTTACAATAAAAGCAATTAAAACAGCAGCCCACATTAACAACTCTTTAAAATTACAGTTATCTGACTTTATTTGTATTACTTTGGAACTTGTGGAGTATTACGTGACGCTCATCAACACGTTAAAACACTGCCCACTGAAACAGTCTGGAGATGAGTCTGTGGATAAGCCGAGCGTATCTGCAGATCTGCAGACGTGTATCCCTTTAAGAGGCCACACTGACAGCGATTAGGAGATTTCAATTGAGCTGGTGACCCTTTAATAAGAGGCAAAGTGACACTCATCTTTGTAATAACACTTAAGATACGTATTACGTACACCCAGACTAAAGGTATCAGAGGATTTAAATAAGTAAAACGATTATTGCTTTAAAGTGACATTAGGTTATGGAACTGTCGTAGCCAAAATTACGTGTAAAATGTAGCCCGTGACGGTAAATGTGCAACTAGGCGATGAGACAGGCCTGCACACTCACCGTTTGCTTACTACTGTTGCCTCTTTCTTTATCCGAGTCGAATTCTCATGTTTTCACGCGGCTTTTGAATTTCACCACATCAAATATTTTGGAGAGTTCGTTCAATAAAACTTAATTTTATTTAAATTTTTTTTCCCCATAAAATTCAGTCAATACGCACACATATCCATTTAAATACTGTTTTTAATAAATTCCGTCATAATATAATTCATAACATAATGTAAAGGAGAGTTTTATTCTTAGATTCTTCAAAATGCAACTACGATCTCACAACGCCTTGTTAACGGTATTTAATTATAAATATTGTAATATTACAATATCCATTTATGTCAGCTAATGAAGATGCATTTTGCAATTAGAAAGTGATTTAAACTAACACCGTGACAAATGAAGTTTGTCACCGGTTTGTATAACAGACATGTTGATTCATTGAATTAATTGATTGATATTTGCTGATCAAATTCAAAAACAAATGTATTCTCTAGAAATACTGTGGCAAGCCTCTTATCAGAAACAAACACAAGCATGTCTATAGTGCATTATCTAATTCAAAAGATTAAGATTTAACTGGTAGCCTGGAATACAGACTGAAATCCTCTGAATGTTTTTTACAGTCTGATCACCTCCTTCTCATCTGCTGCTCAGACTAACCTTAGACAGAGCAGTGCAATCAGGTTAGCTTATTTTAGTGATGCAGACAAACTAGAGTTTAGTGCTAGTATGCACTCATTGATTCTACAAAAGTCTGTGATGTTTTTCAGTTATTTTCTTCCTTTTTTTTTCTTTCTTTATTACTCATAAGCCTTTCTCTGATTGGTTAATCCATCTGTCAATCATGCCCCATAAGGACCCACCCTCGACATATTAAGCTTCTTGTCTTGGCTGGCCAGACAGTGCTTCATAACAACCTTCATACTGACTGAACTTAAAGGAGCGAAGGACCGTGGTCAGTGAAGTCTCCTCCCTTTGCTTTGTAACAAACAATGCATTTAGCATTTCTGTATTTTGTGATATTAATGGCCCTGACCCCAATTTTTCCCCATGTGTTTGAGAAGTCTTTCTTACTCCAGTACAGGTATATTGTATACGCAGTAATTGAGATCAAAGTAAGTCTGCTGTGTACTGTCTGCATCTAATTATAAAGCATTGTATTGTCCAATAATCAGGAAGTGCTCAGTTAGTAGCTCTGTAGCTTTGCCATGATGGCAAAACTCTGCTCTGGTGTCTAAGAGTTGCGAAAAGTGCTTATGAACTCATCACGGTGAATAATCAGGATGCTCTGAACGCATTTAAAATTAATTTCTGTTTTTCACATTTTCAGGATTGTAAAAATCAGGTAGTGCCTTTAATACATCTTGCAACTCCACTCAGATTTAGTTACAGCTTAGTAACAGTTTCATATCAATATTTTCCACTTACTGATATAATTTACGGCTAAAACATGCCTCTAAGTTGTCCAAACGCTGGCCAGGGTAGTGTGGGAGAGAATGCGCGGAGGGGATGGGGGCGGCGGAGGAATTCTTGTGAGTAAGGCATATGATTTATATTTGTTTAAGTGTTGAATGGGGGGGTGGAGGGGATGGAGGGGGGGTAGCGGCATACACGCAGCGCTGGACCCAAATGTGTGTGCGTCTCTTTGCCTATATGTCTCGGTGGGTGTAATCCATCTGTGTGAATGGGAGTCGCGGTGGTAATTTAGATCGGCCGGTGTCTCCTGATAATGAGGCCTAATTAGACTGTAGGTCAGTTGGTCAGGCTCCTCTGATCTGAGCCATTCCTCCCCTGGATAAATAAACCTGACAGAGAGAGAGAAAGAGAGAAGGAAGGAGAGAGAGAGGGGGGGAG